TGCTTTCTCCATAGCCAAGTCACCCGCGAGTCCTGGAGTGAACTTCTATGACATTTGCTACCATCAAGGAGGTCACTGTTCCCTAGAAGAACAGACGGTGATACAGAGTCAAAGCAGAGGGACACTCACCGAGTAGGTCACTGCTGGATGAGGACAGCTCTGAAGGGTGAGCACTGTGAGCTAGCTGCCAGCCTGAAAGACCAGACGTGGCTAAAGCTGGCCGGGAATGGAGGTGGGAGGAGACCCCACACACACGCACATTTGTTCCCAAAGCCCGCACGCTTACTTCTCGCGAGAACCCGAGCAGGGTTCTGATAGGCTGACGTGGATGGCAGCTGGCATGGGAAGTATAAAAAAAGGACCTTGCCATTAAGCGCTTGCTGTCCTGTCTCTAAGAGGTGACCGTCTACATTGTTGGGTGTAATTTTAAAATTTTGCCTACCTTTCTACCAAATTCACATGAAGGTGAAATTTTGCTGCTGTTTATGCTTGTTCAATGCTTTGCGTAGGACAGAAAGAACCTGGAAAGCACCTCTAGAAGGAGATTCCACACCCCCACTCCCGACCCTGCCTAGTAACAGCTGGAGGGGAGGCTGTAGCAATCAAATGGCTCAAATGCCCTGCGTCACAGTGTTCCCTTCATGGTGAGACCCATAGGACACCAGGGCCTTTTACCCCAACTAGATGCCGCACACCATGGACCAAGTAGGATTCTTACACTTTAGCCGATTGTTTCTCTTGTCAGGCCAGCCAGAATCAAGACTCTCATTCTTATCCCTCTCTTTTATACCTGATTGCTCCCTGGGCTCTTCTCCACTCCTCCAAAGTTCTATCTCATTTAAAACCTTTTGAAGCTGGGTGCGGTGGCGCATCCCTGTAATCCCAGCACTTGGGAGGCTGAGGCAGGAGGATAGCCATGAGTTTAAGGCCAGTGTAAACTATGAGACCCTGTCTCAAAAATTTAAGTAAATAAATAAATCAAACATCATGAGTCCCCTCCTGACCTCTACCATCACATTCTTGGATGTTTTTGATGCTCCTTAAAGCTATCTTTCAGCTTGTCCAGGGGGGTTCAAGGTCTACAAGGATAGGCTGGTGCCAGAATAGAAAGAAGTGGACTCCTTGTGACTGTGATCAAAGGACAAGATTGTGTTCTAAAGCCATGAGTACTCCCAATTCCATCCATTTGTTGTATTCCTGGCATGAGAATCGCTTTGGCTAAATCTGTGATTATTTTAAAAAAAAAAAACCTGTAAAGTGAGACTTACAGAAGAAACTTCTGAGTTTCTAACTATTTCCAACTGCTTGGAACAATCAAAAACTGAATCTGAGTTTTGGCTTGGGTTCAGTGTTACTCCTCTTCTGCAGTCTACCCTGATATCCAGTGATTACCAGGTAAGATTTTGGCTTCTTACATGGTGTGGCCTCTCACTACATTTTGTTTTTGTCTCCCAGTAATTCAGCTTTTACCTCAAGAGTTCTTATACCACTAAACTCTGGCCCTGGGGAGGAGGAAGATGGAGACAACTGGAATAGAGGAGATGTCTGCTCAATTCTGGGTTTAGAAATTAATATACATAACACAACAAGTTACCAAGCGCGATGGCATACACCTGTAATCCCAGCTTTTGGGAGGCTGAGTCAGGAGGATTGCCTTGAATTCGAGGCTACATAGTTGAGTTCAAGGCCAGTTTGTACTACACAGCAAGACCTTGTCTCAGGAAAGAAACAAATAAAAAGATCAGAAATCTGGGAAGAATTCGGAATATGGGGAAGTTCCCTGCTCACAGTGGAAGAAGAGCCCAAGGAAGATGAACGGAGGAGGGCAGGGAGGAGGCAGTGAGAGAGCAGAGAACTCTTGGGCACGAAGGAGTTAGGTGGGGAGGGCAAAAGCTGAGGAAGCTGAGGAAGCATAGAATGTTCTGGAATGGCAGAGGCCTGCAGGCCTTGCAGAGATGCAGTGCCTAGACTGCTCCACCACCTGTGTGATTCAGAGAGCATGGCTGAGAGGTCGAGAACAGTGGGCCTCATCATCCTCGCCAAGCTCTATGCTCTGAGGCCACTGTGTGGTGCCCAGATCCCAGTGGAGGGAGCCTGAGGTCCCTGGCAGGAGCTGAAGACACCCAGATGCTCAGGCCCCACTGTCAGCACAGATTGTGGCACTGAGCATCCTGTGACCAAGCAGGTCATTCTGCACCATAGAGGCCACTGGGAGAAAAGTCCATACCCAGGAAGGTCATGGGTGACTCAGAAATGTGTGAAAGACAGGACAGTCACCTCTCTTAATAAAAGACAACTCATGAAGCTGGGCAGAGGTGCATGGCTGTCATCCCAGCACTTGGGAGGCTGAGGCAGGTAGATTGTCCTAAGTTTGAGTTCAAGGCCAGCCTGAGTTATTTGGGAAATCTTGTCTTAAAAAAAATTCAAAACAAAACAAAACAAACAACCACAAAAAAGAAAAGACAATCTGTGGTAGAGTCTTATCCCTGCAGATGAGAGAAAAGCAGGTGATGAGGTGTCAAAGAACAAAGTCTTTGTGCCATTTTTCAAGATGGGGAGGAAAACTGCTCCGGAAGGAGCCAGGGGCAGGCTGCAGGGCCCTGTGTGCTGAGGGCTGAGACACAGCTCAGCTCCCACACCAGCGAGGACAAGGGGAGCCTTCAAGCCAGGGAGAGGGTGGGAGTTTGTGTGGAAAATTCCTAGGAGGAAGTGCCAGGGAAAGGGGGATTCTCAGAGCGGCTCAGCAGAATTCTTGCTGAAGGCAGGCCAGGGTGATACATAATGAGGGTGGGGGCTGAGGACAGATACTGAAGTTTGGGGATTTTTGCCACATGGACTGAGTGAGGCTCTTGCTCACACTGAGTTCTGCAGAGACAGAAGGAAATCCAGGATCAGGCCTTCCTTAGGAAAAGGACTCACGGGCAGAGAGGAGAGGCTTTCGGAGGGAGGTGAGGAAGACCCCAGGAGAGCCGCTGGGGAAGCATGGCTGCGTGGGGCTGAGTACCCTGAATGGCACAGATCGAGTGGCACAGGTTAGGCAGCAGCCCCAAGTCCACCTTAGGAAGGAAAGCAGCCATCTGTTTCCCTACAAGTCGGTCTCCAGCCTCCTAGTGCTTCCCTTGCTAGAGGGATCAGTGGCATTGAAAGCCCTGCAGTCTCCATGCCCTCACCTGAGACGCCCACCCCAGGGTCACCGAGTCCCTTTTCCCTGTCACTGGAGCTGCTGTAGCTGCCGTAGGGTGCTCATCTCCTTCCCCGCTTGTCTCTGGAGATGGTAGCTCTTCAGTGACTGGGACGAACCTCACTCAGGTTCACACCCTAACAGCAGGCTTGAGGCCTGGCGGGCAGGAAGGTGGCGTCCCATGAATGTGAGGCAGATGGATGGCCAGACCGCAGCTAGAGAAGGCACAGGGTGGGCCATGGCACTGAAGACCCAGCGCCTTCCCACAGAAGCGGGTTTCAGGCTCTGCGACTCTGCACTGAGGTGTGGGGGACCCTACTTACTATTTTGTACTGCTGTTTGCAACCAGCCCTTGTCCCAAACAAGCGCAGTCAAGTAGAGGTAGACAGCAGAGTTTTCTGTCTGGGGAAGAAGAGGAGAGAGGCAGCGTGGGGCCCTGTGGACACACAGGTCCCTTGGGGAGCCAGGAAGAGGCTTTTCACAGACTTGGGAGCCACATGACCTATGTGGTCACACACAGCCCCACACTTGCTCTAATCCTCTTCCAGGGTTAGAGCCACCTTGAAATTCTTCCTGGCTTGGTGAGTCACAGAACCCGGGTTTTCATTTTGACCTGGCCCCCACCAAGCTGGTCTTGAAGCTGGTCCCAGTTGGGGGACACCAAAAGGGGAGGGAAGGACACAAAAGAGCACTAGAAAAGTGATGTCACCCCCTGGTTTTACAGGAGGGCCTCTGGTCAAGCCTGCCTCATGGCCAGCAGGACAGAGACAGCAGACAGCCTCGGGGTGAGGGCCAGCTGCTGCTTCCTGCTTCTTGATAATACGGGCGAGACATCTTGGGACCTGCCACCTGCCGGCCTCCTATAGCATTTGAGGGACGCTGTGCAGGTTTTGCCATTCCTTCCTTTGAAGCAGATGATGCAGCATTCCATGTCCTTCACTGGTGTCACACGCTGGCCTTATTGATGTTCCAGGAGGTTGCCAGGCAATAAGAGTGGTCATTGCCACACCTTACAAACAGAAGCAGCTGCAGCTGAGATGCTGGAGATTATTCAGTGCATGCATCATACAGCTCCACTTTACTGGGTGAATAACCAGTGGTTACAGCTTGCTGGGAAACTTTCTAATCATTTGTATCCTATCTCAGGGCCCGGAAAACACTGTGCTGGTTGACATACGATGGCTGGGCATGTTGCCGGGTCCCTTTTGAAATGAAAGATGACAATCTGCTTTATCTAATACACTTCCTCAGCACGTTCACCATTAGGAGTGTCATCTTCCTTTCAGATAAGGGTCCTTGCACCACTAGCCAGGCTTGGCTGTCTTTTCGTGTCCTGTACTTTCTTCTTTCCTTCCCACAAACTGCAGACCTGACAGAACACTGTGTCCTTCACCTCACACTGAGCCGAGGCTGAGAAGTGACACGGCTGCACGAAGGAAAGTCCCCTCTTTGTCATTTTTATGAACATCTTTATAAGCATTTCATATATTTGGCTCCCTGCTAGACTTCAAGAGAATCTGAAGCTAATCCTTGCCCTGGGGCAAGTAACTTAATATCTCAAACATGTGGGGGAACACACACAGACAGCACTGCGCTGCTGACAGGTCCTTAGGTGCCCAGGAGTGTGGTACAGACATTTATCAGGCTGCAAACACAGGGTGTTAAAGATCGAGATCAGAGGAACTTTTCATTTTAATTTAAAGGAGCTGAACAGGGAGGGATTTTGCTAGTCTTTAAATTAAACAAGAAGTCTTCCAGAGCCACAAACCAGCACAGCTTCCGTGGCCAAGGGAGCCCCATCCATTGTGTGTGGTGTTCTATGCATGGCCTTCAGCTATTCATACACATGTTACAGTGTCGACATCAGATAAATATTTATTTAATGATAAAGGTTATGAATTTAAATTCTGTGCTCTCATACCAAAATTTCATTTCAATTCTTGGAGTCCTATGGGAGTCACAGAGTAGATGTCTGTTAGTGCTATGGAAATAGTAAGGTCAAAGTAAGACTAGCCAGATCAGTGGTGCACACCTGTAATCCTGGCCCTCAGGCTGAACTATGTAGGGAGAGCCTGTCTCAAAACAAAACAAAACAAGGATAAAGGAGTCCCTTTTAATCACTTGTCCCCAGTGACCTCTCTCCTGCTTCTCACCCTCAGGAACCCAGGTGCTTCGAAGCTATTGTTTGTCCTCTGCTACTCATGGCAAGGCCTTGCACCACCACTTAAGCCATGTACTAAGGAGTCCAGCCTTTCCTGGAAGAGCCCATTCATCTTTTGTAATATACATTAACAAGAATAAGTGATTTCTTATGCTGAGCTAAATATCTGTCTCTTTTTGGCTCCTAAGCTCAGCTGTGAACTTCTGGGGGTCATTCTGTCCCCACCCTTTGCCCTGCCTGATAAGCCATAAGTGTTCGTAGAACAATGAGCAGCTGGACAGGGTCCCAGATGTAAACACAGCAGGCAGTGGGCTGCCCATACCAATCACAGACATGGTGAGAAAAAAAGGAGGAAATCAAGGGAGTCAGGAAAAAAAAGGGGAGCAGATTCTGGAGGAGGTGACGAGTCCAAATTCAAACCTTAGTGGAACCAAGAAGGAAGTGATAAAACCTAAAAAATAAATGAAATCATTTCCGGTGAGTATCCAGCGGAAGGGAGTAATGAGATTATAGCTCAAGCAGTTATGCTGATCAAGCTATAAATAGGCCAGCAGGATTGTGACTATAATGTTACTTAAAGGAAAATAGAGGGTGCCGTCATGCTGGTTAACCAGAGAAGGAGTGGGAATGTGAACTTGGCATGAATGACTTACAAGGAAATAAAATAAGATTGTTCAGGGCGAAGGAGAGAATGTCGCCAGCAGTTGGCCTGAATCTGAGACCTAGCCCAGGGCAGGTGTGGTGGACATCTGGTGAGTGATGATTATTTACCGGGCAGGTTCCTAATCAGTGTGGGAGTCGGGTGGTGGGAATTAATGTCCCCATATTTCACAAAGCACCAACGGAGTTTGAGTTTCTTTGCCTCTAGCATCTTGCTGCTTCCCAGAGAAGTGGTTCTGTTTCCCTGAGACCAAAATCCCTGCAAAGGTGTCAGATGATGGAATTAGAGCTTCCTGCTAATTTTCAACAAGCCGAGTACCTGGTCAGGCTGACTTATTGGAAGACTGCATGGATCGATTGATGGATGGTTAGAAAAAGCATCACAGAGAGGATTTTACTGTCAGCTAATGACAATGCAGGCTGCCTAATCATCATTTCCTGTCTCTTAGCTGGGCTTGCAGCTGTCAGGGTTCCAGGGAAAGGAGCTCTGAGAAGAATCTAAAGGACACTTCCCCAAGATGGGTTTCCAGGACATACGAGGCTGGCACTCAGCAGGAGCAGTCATCTGTCCATCTGTCCCAGTCTAGACCCTGGCAGTGCTAGCTGTGGGGGGCCCTGCAGGGTGCTGCATCACATTTTCAGAGGCCTTGGCTCTGGGTATCTCACTCAGTTCTGCAAGGCCTCCAAGAGCAGTAACTCAACTGGAGGACATGAATGACAGATGGCAACAGTGTCACTAGAGGTGAGTTCATATACGGGTGTAAATGTACATATTATTCTAAAATATGCAAATGAAATTTAATTTCAGTTTCTATAAGTTGCTTAGACCTCCAGAAGAGCTCTCACTCTTAGGGGAAGGTGTGATGGTGCACACCTGTAATACTGTCCCTTGGAAGCTGAGGCAGGAGGACTGCTGAGCGTCTGAGGCCAGACTAGCATATTGAGTTCAAGGTCACCTTGAAATACATGAAAAGACCCTGTTTCAAGAAAAAAATAGAATCCCCTACTCTTTATTAGCAGACATTGGAAAAGATTGTGAAAGGTTCTGAAATGAGCAAAAAAGGTGATAATCCTATCTAGAGCACAACTCCCTTCTGGGTTATTTCAGCTTTTCCTTGCCTTTGAACTATTTTACACGTCTTCAGATGACAATACTGAGCACACCAAATGAATCTTGGGAATCTCATTTGTGTTCCGTGGAGCTGAAGTTAATATTGTCTATGGAGGGGAACCGTCCTTTTTGTGTTCATTCCAGTCTTCCTGGATATGCATGTGTGTAAATTCTCTTTGAATGGATTGCACCATCTTATCAGTTGCCTCATAACTTCAGCTAATAAAATCTGTGCCGCGGGAGAGTCATAGTTTCAGACTTTAAGGAGAACCTGCTTTAATAGGAAGGAAGGCCGGCTGTCGGCAGCCTGACAGCTGTGAGATGCCCCGCCAGGTCTGGTCTGTTTCCTCTTCATTCCCATTGCACTGTGCGCCTCCAGCCGCACCTTTCTCTCCTGGTGCATTGCTGTGATGAACGCGCCTCATGTGGTGGGGCTGGTGTAGGAGCAAGACCCGAGCGAACCAGGGTGCCTGGTGCCTTCTGCTCATCATTCTAGCATCTTCCCGGGAGACTGCAGACCCAGCACACAGTGGAGCACTCGGTGTGGTACAGGGGGACTTCTGTGCCGTGGTCCCTCCACGCAGACACAGCAGCCTCTAAGATGTGCCACGACCCGTTGTTTCTATAGGCCTATGCATATTCCTTCCCTTAAGGGGCAGCTTACACATCTGGGAGTGGGGATCGAACCCAGGACCTTTTGCACTGAGCTACTTCCTCAGCGGTGTGTGTTTTGTTGTTTGTTTGTTTGAAATCTTATTTTGAGACAAAGTCTCACTCAGTTGCCAAGTTTCCTAGTCTAGGCATAAATTTGCAACTCTCCCACTTCATCCTCCCAGAAGACTGGCATTACAGGCACGGCCACCGCACCCAATTCACGGCATGCTTTGGCATCACTTACCCTCCCTCGGGTGGAGAATGGCTCGCGGCTGGTGGGGAGCATGATATATGGGAGAAGGAAACGAGAGACCCATCAGTGCAGCAGCCTCAAAACATGTCACTACTATAAGGGGTGCTGAAGGGGGGGGGGTCAGCATCCTCACAGGAAGTCAGAGCCAGCAGGAGGGAAGGAACTCTGGGAGCCGGAGACTGCGAGGGAAGGCAGCGTCAAGGCAGCTGCGAGGCCGCGGTGCGATGGCTTCACGAATACACCTCTGTCAAAAAGGCCAGCACATTGCATCACCCCAAGAAACTCCAGGGCTCTAATTTGGGATTTTCAGGTTTCTAAAAACCCACATTGGCCCCGAGGGAAAACTACATAAATTACCCTGAAGCTATGTGCTTAATAAATTCAGGAAGTTTGCTAGGAATAAACATTGGCCCACTCTTCTGCAGAACTCAGCTTCTAGCTTATCCTCATTGAAAAAAAACAAAGAAAAGTTAGGTGTGGTGCTGTGAACTTGGGTGGCCAAGGCAAGGGGATTATAAATTAGAGTCCATCCGGTATAGATGGTTTAGGGACTCAGCCAGACCCTGTTTTAATATATATATATATATATATATATATATATATATATTGTCTTTTTGAGACCAAGAGTTTCACTATGCAATTCATGCTGACCTTGAGCTCACTTTGTAGCCCAGGCTGGCCTTGAACTTTTTTTTTTAAAGGAAAGATATATATTTAATATATAAAAGAAAATGCTTAACCTGAAATAATTATATTCTTAAAAACACCCCATTTACTTACAGATATATAAAAAGGTGACTTACTGGTCTACTGAGGTCGTGCGTCTCACAGCGTTGGGTGAGGCTGTCCTCCAGGGTCTCACCTCTTCTGACTCCTCTTTCACTCATACACGTAACTGTCACAGATCAGTTTCTTCTGAGGCTAGGTTAGAGAACAGAAGGTTTTGGGGAGCCTATATTTCTGTCAAGACTGCAAGACTATCCTGAAGACTCAGCCCTCCTCAGATGAGCCCTGGTGACTCCTAGATCTGTCTTGGGACATTGAATCTTGGTCGGGGGAAGGGGCAGATAATGGCACCTGAAGCCTTCCGTGAGCCCTGGAATACCTCACTTCTAGCTCTGTGCATCTCTTCTAGGCATACCCAAGTGTCCAACAAGCGACCTGGACCTGTTTTCTTCTAAAAAGGGAAAGTGTTCACAGTGGACATGGTCCTTCTTCTCCTGAGGATCATTCACTCCCTCCCAGCTGACCCCCTACAGCCACAAGAGCCTTGGGAAGTCAGGGAAAAGCAGAGAAAGACGATGGGGAACCGCTACACCAGCTTAAAGAACTGGCATCTCCAGTGAATAGCAGCAAGGGAGACAGGCGCTAACTTCTTCCTGAGGTGTGAACTGAAATCTGCTGGGTAAAGAGAAGGAGGAGGAGCAGCTGAGGAGCACTCTTTGAGCTCCTTCCCACTTCCTCAGTAGAGAGGGAAGGTTAGGGGCCAGTGGGAGGGTCTAGAAAGGCAAGTAGCACGGAAACGAAGAATCCCTTGTCTCCGCATTTTGTGGAGGAAGCCTTCCTACCCTTGGAGAGCAGCTGATGGCCAGAGTTAACTCGAGGGGAATCCATAGTGGAAGTAATAATTCACTGGCTGGAGCCATTCCAAACCTGACCTCACAGCCTAGGTATGAAGACATGCTGAGTGGGACCTGGATACGGAAAGAGGATTCAGAAGAAGCAGCGTGACCTAGGACTGGCCTTGAACTTGCAGTGATCCTCCTGTCACAGCCTCCCAAGCACTGAGATTATAGGCATGTGCCACCATGCCCAGCTAAAAATAAAAAATAAGTGGCTGGAGATGTAGCTCAATGTCAAGGGCGCGCGCACACACACACACACACACACACACACACACACACGCAAAAGAAAGGAAACAAAAGGACAATTTACTATTTCAGGCTTCTTGAACTTTTCCTACTACTTCCTATGCTAGAAAGTACAAGAGAAAGATTCTGATATTACATGGACTCCCAAAGAGTGAATAATACCCTCCTGAAGTCTGAATTTCCATCCAGATTAGCCTACTCAGAGGAAGAGGAAGACGAATTTGGATGCATGTTGGGAAGGCTCTAGAGTGTCTGTCCTTCTCACAAAAGACTGTTGCTTGTAGCAAATGGTGCAAGGCAGAGACCATCGAGACCAGCAGGCCTGTGTAAAGGCAACATGGTGTGGAATTTATTGTGCCTGAGTACAGGCCGACACAAGGTGGAAAGGCTGTCTGTCGGTGACACAGAGAAGCGAGCTGTTTTGTGGGGGTTGAAAGAAGGCAGGGGACCAAGCAGGAAGACTTTAATAAACATCTGCAGTCAAAGTTCTCTGGCCGCCTTGCATCTGAGTGGGTAAAGTCCTTGACGTCTCCAGATGTCCAGGGCCTGCAAAATTCCTTGTCCTGTCTCATCTCCTTTACGACATCCTGTGCCTACTGATGGCAGCCCTGGTGCTGAGTTCCCTGCAGACAGTAGCCTCTCTGCTGGCAAGTAGATTGGGGGCTGGGAGAGTCAGGTCAGCTTCAAGCCTTACATCACCTTCTTCAGAGGAGGGGACCAGAACAATTCTTCTTAGGCTAATTCTGTCAACTTGGTACAGCATAAGCAGCCCATACAGAATTTCACAGTGAAAAGTAGTCATTGTGTAATTGACACAGCAAATAAATTTTCAATGTAGTTTAACCACTGCCTACCCAGCATGATTTCCTATCAAGGACATGGCATTGTAAAATCAATGCTTGTACACATATGTGCTGGGTCATCCTGAGAAGTAAATGCTTGGTTTGTTCTTTGTGCTGAATGTATGCGTCGGATTCATTCTCAAAAAGAGTCAGCGACTAATGGGTTTTTTTTTTTTTTTTTTTTTTTTTACAAAATGTAAAATCATTTAATGTCTCTGATCATGTTAAAGGGTAACTTCTGCCTTGCTTGGTTTTCTAATATTATCTAGGAAGGAAATTTGACTGTTGTATATCAGGAAGGGTTGGCACAGGGCAGAAGACCCAGCAAAGTGATGGGTTTGGGGTGCGGATCTCATCTGCCTAGGTGCTCCTGCATTGGGTGACTAATGGTTCTGAGATGCATGATAAAGCACTAGTCCCCAGTTGCTCCTGCTCACCAGCCAGTTCAGTTCCTGCTGTGTACCATAAGCACCAGTGTGTGTCTTCATTGATCACCATACCTGTCTACACAGAACTTCTCCTTCTGGTTGTCCATGTGCTTCTTTCTCCATAGAACAACATTAATTCTGACATCTGTCTTGTTGAGAGCCATACAACATCTGTCCTTGTCATCCAACATCACAAGGATCTCTTCAGAGGCCAGCAAAAGGAAAGGCATCTCTGCCTGCCTTCTTGGGCAATGGCTTTCCCTCTGGAATCTGAGTAATCACCTTCTGTAGGGCCTTGGCCTCAGGTCGTTGCCCCAGCAGTGCCAGGCTGGGACTTGCCTCTTGGAAGCTGGGATGAGGTCACCAGTGTCTTGCAGACATTGCAAAAGGCTGTCCTTTGAAGACAGCACCGGGTCTCACTGACTCCCTGCTTACCACTTTGTGTACTGGAGGTGGCTTCCCCTCTCGGCTGGCACCTTGTGAAGGGATTTGTTTACAACTAATGGATTTGAAGAACACTGAGCTTGAGCTCAAATGCAAACTCAGTAGGCATTGTCACTGCTGCATGGACTCATGAAGATAG